TATTTTTGCACGTGGTAGTAAAATGATTGATTCACTTTAAAACGGCATTCTTGATCACAGATAATAATTATTAGTTAATTAATGTAAATGTAATTACATGTACCTTTAGCATTTAATTTGTCGTAATCTGTTGGCCATACGACAAATTTTTAAAAAAGCAGACTAATGAAGAATTTGATTCCCTTCTTCACATATATATGATCGAGGGTTTTTAAGATTTTTTATCAAACTCGTTTATCAAAATGGGGGCAAATGCTCCAACTCTATCACAATGCCAATTTGAACTTATCATTAGAAAACAACAATCAACCGATGCCACTAAAATAAATTACTGTTATCCCCTAAACTATAGGATTCCTTTATACAAAACCTCACAGTTTCTTGGCCTACGTACAATAAAAAAACGTGTGTGCCAGCCTAACCTAACAAACAAGTCTCTCTCCAAACCGATTCGACCCATTGAACATGAAGCATTCACATCGTCGTTTTTCCGATGAACTTCATACTTTTACCTTTCATTTGGCAAAACAAAACAGCAATCTAAACAGTGCGTACAGTCGCTCAACTTCTTACGAACTTGACCTGGAAACGCACGAAATCGGACTCGATCTATGATCGTGCACTAACAGAATTGAAAAAGTGAAAGACAAACCAATCGGACTCGTTTGAATACGCTCGCGGCAAAAGACATATTCAAGTGTGGGAGTGTTATATCAAGTTGACACTTGGAATGCCAGATAAGTGGGGTGCTGACCTTTCTATTCGAAAAAACTGTGGTCTTCTGGAATTCCTGTCGCTTCCTTTATTAACTACAGATAGACAATACAGAATCGTATGAGAGGAACACATAGTCCTTTAGGCTAACGTTTTCCGTTCCGCCATTGATCTGATCATAGCAACTTTTGGGACATTCCATAATCTCAAGAATTTTCGCAATCCTTGAAGCTACCATGCAGGAAGCTAACAGCAAGAACTCAATTTTCAAAAAATGCAAAGCATTTTTGAACTTATCATAGTAGTAATCATCAGAGCTCCCTCAATTTTTTTGTTTTGACATACATAGTACTAAGGAAACCGCTAACCTTTGAATCGAAGATACTTTTATACATAGTGCAAAACACGCTCAGCAGTAAAGACTGTTTTAGATTACACAATTTGTTGTTCAATTTCAGAGACAATACCATGAATGAAAAATTGTTTTATATCGAAAAATTACTGTTTTATATTTAAACAATTTATTATGCAAGAAATAGATTACGATTCTGTGCATTAACGTCCTACTTGTCAGTAAACTACAAGTTGATTACAGTCGCGTAACCTGTTTAAACGCCTATCCACACACTTCAAAAAGAAACTTTGACGCGACAAAATGTAAACGAAACAACGCGTTGAAAGTAATAAATAATAGATATTATGCCTGCACTTCACTATCGGTGATGATCGTTGATCGTGTGATCGTTCATAATAGGCACAATCAGATGTGCAAGCATCCACACCAGCGTCCGTAGTACGTAGTTTGTCAGAGGGCAAGTATCAATATGACCCGGCGATTCCCTTTGATGCGTGTCCGAAAAACCGACAATTCACGGGTCGAAGGCGATCGTTGGCGATGATCGGCGAGTACAGCCGAGTATGCCCTCTACACGATCGTGCAAGTAAGCGTTTGTAATCATCGATTGTGAAGAGGAGCGATTAGGTTCTATACTCCAACCAATTACTTGTTCAATTTATCCGATTTCTTCTATGATACCACCCAAGACACCTAGTTTCAGAAATTGAATCAAATCTTGTACAAGAAATTGTGTAATCTAAATCAGTCTTGACGAGAATACGTACTGTAGGAGTCTACTTCAAAATCAAGCGGTCCAGCACGGCGGAAAGTGTGGATATATCGGCATTTCTGAAATTTGTTTCTTCAATAAAGTTGAATCTAAATATCTACATTCTAAAATTGGAACAATCTGGGAAAATAGCAGGTTATTTTATTTCTTTTTTTTACTCTAAGGATGATCAAAAAATTAGCAGTTGATCTTGCCTGAGTGCAAGGATCTTATTCTAGGAATCACGAAAATACTAACACATTGTTTTTAGTTGTAAGGGAGAGTATAGTATATTGGAACGGTTTAATTGCTTTTTATTTTCATTATTAAGGTTATTAGCAACTTATTTAATATCGACACATTAAAATTATTTTCACCAATACATTCTTAGTGGGTACTTTATTTATTGGAGTATTTTATTCTACACGCTCATGCAGTTGTAAGAATGGATACCGAAAAAATTATTATTAGTGTTAATGTTAGTTAAGTATGTTTTAGTAGAATATATTATTGTAAGTATTTAATGAAAGATATTTTTATCTAGCTTAAGTAATCTACCTATATATTTTGATCACAACGTTCGGAAGAGTTCACTAAATAATGATTAACTCTGCAATAACAAGAAAAATGTTTTAGTGGTCACATAATGGAACCAGGTGTTGCTTAATAATTTGTTCGTTTCATTTTCTCAGTAAATAAAGGATTAATAATTGTTTATGTGTTATAGTGGCCTTCTATGGTCCACCCACCTTAATCGTTATGTCGTATTTCGATAAATTATTGTGACCAAACGTAAGTACATACTGTCTTAAATTAGTAATACGTGTACGCCAATGTATCATATGCCTCAGCGGATGTGCGTCTGTATTTCTTTATTTATGACATATTGTATGCACGAATCAATTTATAATTAGCATGAAGACACCGGAACAATGCAGCGCCTAGCATTGAATGCCTTCAACTGTCACTATCGTTATTATAATAGCCAATTTGTCGTGATGCTAATACATAATGCTACTGATACTAAAGTGAAAAAACAGCAAGATTGCCATTGTGCGTTTGTTTATATTTCCTGTCCATATAATGGTAATTTGATAATTTGAGCTGTAATCATTGTTTTGGTTATAAAGAGGTAGATGAAATACGTGATATTAATTTGAATCATCCTTCACCGAGTTTCAGAATATCTAATCATGACATTACGAAGCATATTGTAAAGTATGACACAAATGGTACTTGTATGATTAATAATTCACATGAGTACTGTAAATACAAGTAAAAAAATGATAGAGAAAGAGAACTTCCGATCCTAAAAATCCAGAGGTAAAACTCGATACTATCTGCGTCGGGAAAGCTTATGTCCAAATTTCAATATAAACTAAAGGCAAATTTGGATCAACACTTGTTAATCAACTTTGTGTTGTTAATGAACATGTATTTTTTACGCTGGAGCAGCCGCAAAATAAAACCCGATATTGCAACATACTATGTAGTTGAAAACATCTTGTTGATCTTACTGCCTGACCAAAAATTAGTAGAAAGTATTCTTATACCTTTCTGACAGCTTTTGACGGTTGATTTGATGGTTATCAGATAAGTCAAGTCATCGTTGGTTGTCAGAGCGATCCGTGAGACCTTAGCTCTTGAGTCATAGTGTCAGTTTGTAAGTCTGTCCGGTCTGGTAATCCAGAAACCAGGCAATTTTAAGGAAAAAGGGGGAGGAGAGAAGGAAGAACGAGAGCAAAGAGGAACAAGATAATCTTTTAGGGCCGAGTGTTGAGGCATTGTTAAAATCGCTGGACAGATTTTGATACGGTCTAAAGATATTTGATTTTTTAAGAATTTTGTCAAAATGCTCCTATTTTGGTTGTTCGGATAAGTTTGTGAATGCATCCATTTTTGGTAAAATAATATGCTCATATATTCTTTAAATCATTGAACATTTTTACGACCACTTTCTATCAGTTACATATTGAACTTCCACATATTTTACATCCAAAAATGAGATCAGCAATATATCTTTTTGTAGCTTTAGCAGTACTCTTATTTAGGCTCTGTCGTTGTGGTAAGAAAATGTTGCATAGCCTCGGCAAAGGTCACCATGGCCACTTCAGCAGAACTAACTTGTAACAAATTTTACCAAAGTACTTATTTTTTATTCCGTAAACTTTGTCATATCGTCGCTGTTCTGACAAATGGACGTAAGCGCCAATAACATAATTTTACAGTAGAGCGATTTTAGGAAAATATGTATCTTAGATGAGTTGATGATTCTGTAACTAGCAACGATATTTTTTTACAATTTTGTATCAAAGTGAATCATCAGGGACACTTTCAATCTGTCATAACGTGATTGCAAAGCTCGCACGATATTATCCTACAAAATGGCCACTTTGGACATACGCCCGTTCGTCAGAGTTACTTTACAGAGGTATGTCACTTACGCCCTTTTTCATTAGTAATTTTAAACATACACAACGGTTCCTATCATTAACGAAATTTTTATTTAAACAAAGAAAACTTCAAAATATAGAAATTAAACAGAGGATGTATACAAATTATAAAAAACTGAGGTGTTTAATGATGCGGGAGGTTCTTGAAGTATTGTTGAAACGTTAGATCTCGCACTATGGGTGTAGGTCCAGTACATAGCTCAACAAGGTTTTCGTATTTCAGGCTGTCTAATTTAATTGGACCATTATTAAGTCTACGTACCGGCTATTTCAGGACTTCAAGAGTGTTTCTTTTCAGAGATAATGTGTTATACTGATCAGCAAGATGTGGAACATCTTTCTTTACCATAACTTCCTTGATTGCGGTGAAATTAACATTTTCCCCCGTGTCAAATTCTCTCAGTTGTCGAATGCGGGGTTGTTCAGCCACAAACTTGTAATCCAGAAAGTCAGCATTATCCATAGGGATGACAGTGTATGGAGAATTCCGTCTTGCCAATTTAAGAATAGGAGGAAGCTGAGCAGGAATAAAGACATCTCCTGCTAAGGCTAAAGCTGTCGAAATAGAACTGTGGGCAGAGTCGCCCTCGCTTTGGCCGTGATTTGTTTCGAAGAAAGATAATGATATTTTTTTAATGTTTTTGGTATTGGTTATGGTGTGCAGCAACATGGCTAAAACAATTGTGTTCTTATTTTGGCCACCACAACCATCTGCAAATAGTCTCACTTCTTTTATTCCCTGGGTATCCAGCTGAATAAGGGAGTTTGCCACGCATGTTGATATTTCGTTGGACCCTCGTTTACTATTAATTTCGTTCCAAAGATAACACAAGCAGTTTTTATTTCCTAGGTTGTAAATCGTAAAGTTGAACACTGATAGACGACGGCTATAAAAAATTCCACTTTCATTGCTTCTTGGAAGCGAAATTATCTGTTGCAGGTCGAATACAGCACTAGCTATTGCTTCAGGGTTTTCTTGTGATGATTCTTTAGCATCTTTTTTCTTCTTTCGCACAGAGTCCTTCTCTGCAATGTGTGCAGCAAAAGAATCTTCGAGTTTGGCCTTCGTTTCCGTGCTGCCTTCTTTATAGGACGAACAAAGGCTACACTGGCCTTTCTTTGGGTGATGGAAAGAAAGATTCAATGACTTGAATACCCTTCGATAGATGTGATAACTACACTGTGGCTGACGTCCCTCTTGCACGTAAAACTAATACATTTTCTTAATAGTCAGATCTGGGTGCAAATACTCCCTGGTGGTGGACTGTCTGCAAAAGTGTGATTCCATCCGAGGAAATAGTTGAATATGGGCTAATACAGCAGACCGAGTAGCGCTATCTTTTTCACGCAAACTGGCGTGTCGACCACCACGTGCATCAGGACGTACTATCCCTTCATCATTTAATTTATTTAGCGCCTTCCGCATGGTTTTTTCAGAAATTCCGAGCGTGTTTTAAAACGTAGTTTTACAAACAGTTGTTGATGTATTTGCATTCGAAAGACGATAAGTAAATGTTCTTGTTCTACGTGAAACAATGTTGCTTGTTCGCTTTCTTTTAATATTGTGAGCTGTAACATGACGCGCAACGTTTCTGTTATGATAACTGGGGATACCTAGACGTTCTATAAAACCCGTAAACATGCAGGAGATGGCGCAACAGTATCGGTTATCACCAAAGCCACCTAGAACTACGTTAGATATAGGTGGCTATGGTTATCACAGTTACATACTACGGGCGAAAGCGACACTAAAGCGCAATAGATGATGTGACGAACAGGCGTATGTCCATTTATGGATTTACGCCTCTTAGCCAGATTCCCTATCTTCCATTGATGTCGCTTCCGTCCTTACTGACTATGATGTATACTCCGTGGTATGAGCGATGGAGATACGTTCATTTGTCAGAACATAGGTATACCCCTCGAGAGTTTCTCAGTGGTTTATCTCCTATTTAGAGATTGTGTCGTTTACGCCCATTTGTCAGATCAGCGACGATATGTGTCGGGTATGATCCCCGTTAAACCAAACCTTCTACAGACTGCGAAGCGGCGCCGTGGCTGCAGAGCTTTCTGCATGCCTATTCAAGGTTAAAAATGTATATCCACCAAAAACAGTGACAATGAACTTATTTTGTGAAGCTTGTATCGTGTATGGTCTCCTTTACCCTGCACCTTTTGCAGACTAGGAAGCCATGTAGTAGTTGCAGACCTTTGTGCATGTTTATTCAAGGTTAATGCTGTGTATCCACCTAAAATAAACCGGTGTATATTTATAAACGATCGTTGCTGCCTACCAGCGAACCTTTCTGCACGTTTTGTCCAGAGGCTAATGGCTGAGATGTGAGATTCTAGTTGTTTGTTGTCTGGTTCTGTCGGGTTTGCGAACCAAAGGTCACCACACCCGACAGGCATGGCGTTTGGCAACAGTCGCGGCATGCAAAGCTGCATTTAGAAGGACAGTGGGACCGCCTAGCGACATTTTATATTTGTACTTAATTACAGACTTTAATAAAGCCCCATATCCAAGAGACGATTCCCTGACAGAGTCAGGTCACCGACTGCCCGTCGATGTGAGAGGCTTGAGGCGGCCTCCCAAGGAAGTATCGCTGAGCAGTCGGATAGCTCTTCTCTGATCAGCATTGAATATGGATGGTATAGCCGGAGTACTAGCACCCCAGAGAGGTGAATAGTAGAACAGACAATTTGTGCGCACATTTACACAGAAATACTCGTAACGTAGTCATAGATTTGATTTTAGTTTACCGTCAGCGTCTTCAAGATCATATTGATACTCCGCGAGTATATTCGAGTATTCAGAACGATGCCATCATCCTCGATATTTCCATCAGAGCTGCGTAGGTTTGCTTATATCATACAAAAGCCGTCTGGGTAGATGCAGTAGGAAACATAGACAGCTAGAAAAGTTGCAAATTTTGGGAAGAAGTAACAAACTCGTGTTTTTGAGTCAGTTGGTTGGAGTATAAAAAAATCGTCGACAACTTCAAGCAGTAATTACAGAAAAATAAATAGTTCTTTTACTGCAAAGTAACTTTCTTATTTCACCTATTACCAGTAAATCGGACCTCTACCCAAAATACATTACGTATAAACGTTATTCAATGCATCTTGCTTTGACTTTCATAAAATAATATTGTCAGGCAGGCTTAGGATCTTGTACTTTCAGTGAAGAACCTTCAAGCATTTTGTTAAAGTCGGTACCAGTCTTCTACTCCCAAGATGCCTGATTCTAACTGAATATCAACCCTTGAATTTAATTCCGATGTATCATGTGTCAATATTATTATCAAATATACAGGGTGAGTTTTTAGTTCAGGCTCGGTCTATATCTCAGTTATTACTCATGGTATCTAAGAAAGTTAAGTACAAAAATTGTATCCAACAGTATGCTCCTTACTTGAAAAATATTTGCATTTCTACAGGGTGATACATAATTACAGAAACCTACATTTTATTGTAGTATAGGCTCTTTCAAACGAAGAACTTGATATACATACTATCTTTTATTTCTGAATTATTGACATATTGGATATCGAAAAAATAAACACAGCTTTGACAACTCGCACCTCCGCAACTGTTACAGCTGAATTTTTCGTAAGAACTTTATGATCCCAAATTTTCTTCCTATGCGATGTTTCAGTGTTTTCTATAGACTACCCAGGATGATCAAGAATGCAGAATGAACAATTTATAAAAATTTTCAAATAGAACTTTCTTTATATTTCTACACTTTTTGATTGAGTTACAGATTTTATGAATAGGATATCAAGGTAAATGGAAAACATTACAATATCTTTCACACAAAAAATAGCACTGCAGATAGTTAAACTTTATGCAATAAAGTCGGAACGTCGACGGAGTTATCTAGCGAGTCCACACTAAAACTCACCCTGTATATGAGGCAAGGCACCAACCTTAATTCTAAAGCCATGTACAGATATGTAACAATACCGCGAACCAAGTGTAGACGGTGAACCTTATTAGCGATATAGCTCGCCGTTCGGTCCGATCCAGGCTCTGTCGGTTTTTCAGCGCAACATCAAAGGAATGGCTTGCGACGAAATTGCACACATTTGGACAGGCATACCGGTGCGGCCAGCACCAATGTATTATTTTGTAATTTACGAGTACTTAGAAGTAAAAAATTATTTTTCTTACTTGTATATTTTCCTTTAAAACTTCGACCAATGCCTCACAAACTTCTGGAATGATAGTAGCTGATCGATTGCTTTGAAATTCGAAAAATGTATTGCAAACTGCTATCTGAATCACCGGTCGCTAAAAATCGCACCGTGACTGCAAGTCTTTCTTGCACAGTGATGGCAGCTCTCCATTTTGTATCTTGTTTTCGTATTTTTGATCCAATCAACGTGAGAAGATATTCAAAATCCGTCGGAGACATCCTCGTAAAATTTTTGTACTGTCCACTGACTTGTTGAAATTTCAATTCCGCTATCAAATTGTTGCAACCGTGTGCTGATCTATTGGTATATAACTGCGTTTGTTACCATCGTCTCTGACGTCGTCGTCGCTCGATTTTGGATAGTTAGTAGTGAATATAAGTATAGGCAGCTGCTGCTACTGCTATATCCATTTCCGGCTAGTATTTGTCTTTTACTGAACGACAAACAACAAAATTGGATCGTCATTTTGTTGCGCGATGTGGTTGCACGACTACGTTCGATTTGTGGTGATGTTTGTTGCAATCTTGTTCGTCAAAATGCGCGCGCTGCGGTCCGTCACCTGGTTCGGTTCGCGGTGTTGTTACATATCTGTACATGGCTTAACGGTCGGAAATTACTTAGGATTAGGCCCCACAACCACAAAAATCTGTCTGGTATTTTGAATGTCTGTAAGTAAAATGCTATTGCCAAATAAATTGCGAAAAAACGAGAACCTATCATTTATAAGCTGTGATAATACCTGGATCCTTGAGTGTACCTAGTCCTGATTTCGTTATACTTCGAGATATTCTATGTGTTGCAGCAAATTGTAATAATGAATAGTATCCTGTATTTACAAACAAATAGATCAATTAAACGTAATCAAGGTAGCTAGTTCCTGTACGACTACGAAAGATCATATTTCATATTAGAAATCTTGTTGCATTATTTCATCCATACGTATCACTGACTAATCACTTTTTGAATGTCATAGCTGCTGAAAATTACTAATCTGAGAACTCTTTTTCGAATAAAGAAATTTTTCGAATGTGTATTTCGTGATCAGACTGAAGAAGAATGATGATATAAACAACATTAAGACTCAGTATGATATCTACTCTGTCAACTCGTTATCTGTTTGTTTCTATGCATCGTGGAAAAATCGAAAATTCATGTAATATTCAACGCTCATAAATTACCACATAGCATCGCGTTAGTAACTTACGACTCGTGAAGAGTTATGTTGAACAAATACTACAAATAAAAGCACTTTGATGTCAGCTCGTATTTTATAGTTGCAAGCGAGAGATGAATGTCGACTGCATGCGGATACGCTTTTGTAGCTTCAAAAGAGTCGTCCTATTCTATTAGTCCCGATCCTGTTCTAAAATAGATTTTCTGGGCCGTCGTAAAATATAAACACTTTGTAACAGATGCCTGAAAAATGTGTAATAAAAACAGAAGACCTCGTAGTGAGATGTAAAATTCGAGTAAACGACGGGGTATTTTTGAAATATTAACTTTGCAATGTCTTCCGGTGATCGTATTTTATTGCTGTTACCAGAAAATGGGCATAATGTGTAATCAGACTGCAAATGAAACAACTCAGGGAAATTGAAATTTGACTTTGCTGAAGATCAGTTAATTGCTGAAGAGAGTAGAAAAATTTCCCGCACGACTATACTCGTAGTTTTCAATTCGCAGGCTGTATTTTTTATTATTCATCAATTTAGTTACCTACTACTCAAAATGAGATATTTTTCTTGTGTTCAAAACTGTATTTACTAGTTGGCGTGCACACGACATGTAAGTGGGAATCTTTTAAAATTACAAAAAAAATACCCGAACTTATTATCTGTATTATCCAGAGGTATCAGTTACGCTAGAGTTGCATAACAACATGTATAACAATGAAAAACTGCTGCATAATAGATCTCTTTATTACGACTGTTATTTCGCGGATATTTGTGTTTAAAATAATTAATCATACTATATAATGCTTCATAACATACATGCTGCATACTGCGCTGTACTCGTATACCAGAAAAAAAATGCACTCTTTACCTTGTAAATAAAAATTGTCAAGTCTGTACATGCATCGATTTTAATCAAATTGGCTAATTCTACTTCACTGGCTGAAGAGTAATGAGTAAAAGCATATCGGCATCAAACCGCATATTTCTCTGTTTTTGTCACTTTTGGACAACATTTTGCAAGGTTATGATTGCTTGGTTAACATGTATGTATTAGAAGTTTTTAAAAATTCATAGATATCCTCAGGAAGCGTTTTTAAGAAATTCAGTAGAAAATTGCATATAAATGCAACAGAGTAACTAAGCCAATCTATCTGACGACATTCCCTTGCCCATGAGAGGCATGATCTATTCTAATCTACAAGAATGTGTATGTGCCTACTTATGTCAAATAAAAACACAGATTGGAGGTTTGGCGAAATGGGCACACTGATGGGTCATAAAATTCAGAAAAAGATTTGGCAGGTATAAAACCCGTTTTGATTTCATTCTCTAGCGCATATTTCCACATAGCGCTATCGATTTAAGAGTTTCACGCTCGTAACCACTCTGTCTCCAGAACGCTATTCATAATACCCAAATAATACCCAATTATAAACAGTTTATTCTTTCTAGCAATCGGCAACCGATCGGTACGGGTATCACGTATCTTGAAAAGTGACATTATGCTGATTTTTTTTGACATTATGCTGTTTTTTTTTTGGCATTATGTAGGTTTTTCTACAAGATGTTAACTTAGCACTTAGTTGTACGTGTTGCCTAGACGTCATGAGGCTTGCTATCAATCTTTGGCTCTGATGTGATGTAAAATCTGCCTCTGAGATGGCATTACTCGAGGTCTAAGCTGTAAGTTGTATGGGTTGATGATAATTACATTGGGTTCTTGTCTCAAATACACTTAATTGAGATTCAAAGCTAGAAATTAGTTGCGCATCCACTTTTTCTTATCCATTCTGGAAATTACATATACAAATTTGCTGAATTTCAAAAATGAAAGAGATTAGAAATAATTATATTCACGGTAGACTGTCGAATTACAAGCCATATACATGCTAACAGTAATTACACACAACGCGTGCGCGGTGATGATTTCCCGTAATTCTCCTCAGTTTTTCGTAATTTATAACTTTGAACATAACCTCTCTTCAGAAAGCACAACATATAAATAAACCGTCATATTCGGCATATTCAGTAATGATTTTCTCACACATCAAATATCACTGATTTTATAAACATGCATACCAATACACATAATCATCCAGATGCGATCTTGCTATTCAACCAACTTTCTTCTCATAGATAAAAACTACAGACCCGCATCACTCAGCCTCACAAAACTATGCAACCAATAATGCGTAGTTTAGTTGAGTGATTAATCCATAGATGGACGTTCACAACGATCCTAGAGAGCAAACATGGAATGACTGTTTGCGCCCTAAAAACTACCTAGTCTGCAAGTTGACATCTTATAGGTTTTTTTTTGACGGTTTATGGGTTTTTTACATGATACTCATGCGGCTCTCCGCGTCAAGTCCGGTTCTGTTTGCCGCCACTGCGACGTCTATCACGCGTAGAAGGATCGGTCGTTAATTATTTCAAATTGTGAACACATTATTTGCCAAATCTTTGTCATTTCAATTTCCAATTATTACCCGGATCAGAAGCTTCTTAATAATAGAATGTTACACACTTATACCAAAAATACAACCTCTCCTACCCCTTACAACCATCAACCTCTACATTTTTTTTTGAAACTGAGCCTCTGAAACGTCAAAAAACAAACTTCGAACTATTTTTATCTTTCTCTGTCCGTAGTTCCGCCAACATTAGATCGATTTCCAAAAACTATAAAGCTTTTTCGACCTTGTGTCAAAATATCATCAAAGTTCGAGCAGTGCTTTCCAGTAGAAGGGTCAAGGATTAGCGGGCAGACCGGCAGATAGACAGACAGACCGACGGAAATGAGTGACATGGTTTTCCGTGATGGAAATGTCATCCAAAAAACATAAAATTTTGATTTCTAATTTTTTCCCGGTTATAATACTGGCCAGAGGAGTAGGAAGTAAAATGAAAGCAAGGAAGCGAACATGCGTCGATAGAGAAATGTGTTAATTAAGTTTCCAAAATCTGTTGTTATGGAAAATCCCTACGGTCGAAAGCTTGTATAAGAAACATCAGACCAAGCTGACTAGTCAAAAACTGACCCTGTTTCAGAGAACAATGTAATAAGCCGTTTTACAGATTATGCTTTTAGGGGTGTATGACGAAGGTCCTTATCGAGAGATAATTTGCTGGAAACTTTTTTATTAAACGTCAAAGTTGAAAAATTTACTTTTTGCGTATAACTGTTAATTTGTAACTCACAAAACAAAGTCAGAAATCGTTGTTTTTACGTTTATTTTTTACTGGTACATGCATCACGGTAAATCTAAAATAATAGCCAGAAGTTCAAGCTTTTAACGGGCAAAAAAATTTCATTCCATTGTAAAATAGCTTATTATAATTTTTTCTCAAATTCTAGATATCGTGGTCTACAATGCGTATGTTACAAAGATGATGATCATATGAAGTCATGTCACCATAATACAGGTTTGGATGTTCCGTTTTTTAGGTTCCTAAATAAGATTCAGAAAAGACATCCATTCCGTAAATATTCGTTCGAAACAAAACATTATCGCTCCATTCCACAGAACTAAATTTTATGAAAGATTATTTACGTATAATATATATAAGCTAGACAATCCTATCCCCCAGTACCTCAAATCATATGAAATTCACAAGTTCAAAGCGGTTTTGCGTGATTCTTACCTTGAATGTATAAAGTAGAATTATTCTTAGTGCGGAATTTCAATTTTATTTTGTTTGCATTCCATTATTTTATTTATATTTTTTTTTCATATGATGCATAAATGTACGTATATGTATTTGTATATCATTCTAGACTTTTACATTTACCACCACGTTTTCTCTTTGCTCTTTTTTTCAAAACTTAATTGTAGCTCATATTGGCGTTTGTTTATGCGGTATGTATGGGTATATATATATACAAGTATATATATATATATATTATTCTAGACTTTTTTTTTAAATTTATTACCACATTTCTCACTTTTCTATCTTATTTTTTTAAAAACTTACATGCTGTTCATATTGATGTTTGTATATGCTTGATGGATGTATTTACTGGCATAATGTTTCTTACAATTTCAACGGATGAGTGGAAGAGCACTAGATAGTGAACTCCCCCTTTTGGTTTTTAGACAGTCGACATTTGTTTTATTTATTTTTTTATATTTTCCTTTTTTTTTGGTTAATACTCATTTTTCTCTATCTGATTTTTTTTTGAGAACTGTTTGGAAATAAAGGCATTTATTATTATCATTATTATTATTAAATAATAATTGATTTCGTTTTATTCTAAATTTTACAACAAGCTGATTGTGTTGGAATATTTACAAACTATTATTTTTTGATATTACAACCATTATTATCAGATTCTACTCTGTCGATCCACATGCCGGCAACAGAAATGTACAATAGAAGAATTGGAAAAAGTGCAGGAGCTTACTTAGATAGTTTTATTGGCGACCAATACGAGAATAGTAGTAAACATCTTCGTAGATCAAACAGTAATTACAAAAAGCAATTTTACACGACAACGGAGTTAAGCAAAGTACGAAATTAACCTGTACACTAAAGTGAAGCACATCCCTGGTCTTACAGTCAACCTTGTTACCCAAAACAAATAAAGCATCATCTGTAATATAAAAATCAGGAGATTGTAAGGCATTGAAAATTAGATCTCGATTTTTTTTAATCATTAACGCTACTTGTTGTTGAAGGGAAGAACATTCCAAAGGACCCTCGTATAATCGCTTTTCCATCCCACGCATTCAAGCCTGGTTTTACGGATACCGCGTTTGCATTAGAACAAACGGTAAATCTTGGCGCAAAGTGATGGGCGTCATTCACGCACGTCAAACAGGAAGTAGCTAAAGAAATAGTTAGGATTGCTCTACTCCAGGCAAATTATGTTCCAAAAATTACGTTTTCCAAAGTGTCGTATTTGAAGCATTCTAATACGTCGTATGAGCCCATGGTTTAAATGCACGAACGTTTCATATTGAAAAACGGCGAATCATTGGTTCTAACCCTAATTGAGCAGGCTGTTAAATTAGGTTACCTAAGGATAACTTATAACGATACGATCAACCCAGGTAGATTGTAGGCTTTTAGGTATAACTTACTGAAAAACTGCAAGGCCACGAACTTAAAATGTATTAACTGTGTTAGAAATAATGTAGACAAAAATACCAACTATGACATGTCACATGCAGCTTGGGATTCTAGGTGCCCATGTTATTTACAAAAAGTTGAGGAGTTTAAAGCTAGGTTATTTTTTTCTTAGTTCGGATTTTCCCGATGACCCTGTATGAACAGATAAATACTCAGAATTTTGTAACAGTTTCTACCTTTTCTGATCGTCGCATCTCTGTTTACTACCAGAACGTACGCGGTATGAACTCTAAGTGTAAAAAATTCTTTGTAAATGTCGCTATGTCTGACTATGATATCTTCTGTTGTACTGAAACTTGGCTGCAGGCTGCAGTACTGAGTTCTGAATTATTTACTGACAAATACGTTGTATTTAGAGCGGACAGAAATGTCTCTGCGATGGGGTGTACTAGAGGAGGTGGTGTCTTAATTAGTATTCGTAATCAACTTGCTGCATCAGAGGTAGATATGACTTTTATTAGAGACGATATTCCCATTATTGACATAATTGGAATCAAACTTAGATATAAAAATGAAGTGACTTATTTCTTTGTGATTTATGTTACATATCGCCTGACACGAGTGCTTCCTGCTATGAAAGATTCTTTGAGCACCTAGAATCGTTTGATTACCTCTTTGGCAAAAGTATTTATATTCTAGGTGACTTTAATGTTCCCGAATTTGTTAATGAAAATCACCTCCAATCTTCTCACAAGCAGAAAACAATTCAGTCATTCATGGGTTTCTTTGATCTTTCTCAATAATTCAATGATGTTCGGAATGTAAATAACAGGCTATTAGATTTAGTGTCATCAAATGAACAATGTAGCGTCGTTAAGGCTTATGATGACCTACTACCTGAGGATGTTCACCATCCTCCGCTGGCCATGATAATCAACATTCTAAAAACAGTCTCAAACGCGCCAGAGAATCTTATAATTTCAGAAACACCAATTTTGTATCACTATATGAAAAATAAGAGCTTGGTTAATTGGACGTTTCTTGAGAATTTAACAAATGTAAACGTAGCTTTGGAAACATTTTATAAAATTCATGAAATTTTTAATGTGTGTCCCTAGGACAAGTCTCAAATCTCTAACATTGGTGAAATGATTAGAGACATTAAAAGAAAAAATTTACTACACAAAAGGTTTAAAAAGGATAAAAGTTTGATCACATACACTGAGTTCAAAGACTTAAGGACCAAAATTAAGGGCGATGAGCGTAACGCATATCAAAAATATCTAGTAGATATCCAAAGTAGCTTATCTCAGGATCCGAACAAACTCTGGTCATTCATCTATAATAAAAGGGGACAAAATTGCACAATCAGCCAAGTAAACTATAATGGTAAGCAGTATGACAAACCCAATGAAATTGCTAATGCTTTTGCGCTATTTTTTCAATCTTTATATACTATGTCCTCGGACGCAACAGATATCAATATTTCGGACTTGCATACTAACATAATACTTCAAAGCTTTTCCGAAGAAGAAGTTTTTAAAGTGTTAAAGCAAATGAAAAATAAATTTAACTCCGGACCCAATGGAATCCCATCATTTTTAGTGCGTGACTGTGCCTACGTCTTAGCTCACCCCTTGACAAAGATCTTCAACCTATGTTTAAAGACTAACACGTTTCCTGAAATGTGGTGTGAATCAAAGGTGCGTCCCATTTTCAAGAAGGGTGATAGACTACAGGCTGAAAATTATAGACCGATAACCCTAGTATGTATCTTTTCCAAGGCCTTCGAAACTTTACTTCATAATTTCCTATACCACAATATACATTCCCAAATAAGTACTTCTCAGCATGGCTTTATGAAGGGTAGATCAACCATAACTAACCTAGCCTGTTTTACTCAGTCAGTCTGCATTAGCTGCCAATAGTCAGGTGGATGTAATTTATACAGATTTTGATAAAACATTTGACAAACTTGATCACAGTATTCTATTAACGAAGCTGAGCTATTTTGGATTCTCCCCAAGCTGTTATCCTTTCTTAAGTCATGTCTATCAGGAAGAAAGCAATATGTTGAATATGTGGGTGTCAGGGGTACCTCAAGGCTCCTGCTTTGGTCCTTTGCTTTTCATACTGTTCATAAACGATATTGTTAGCGACATCGACAGCAGCCACTTAGGCCCGTATCGTCAGTCGTCCCTACAATTGTAGGGCGCCTTGATTGTCATAGTTTTCTACTTCTCCGTATCAGCGATCTATTTTGAGGTTATGTCACAAACATCTATTTGCATCAAATTGTGCTTGCTTTTGAGTTATATCATGTTTTATCAGCCTGAAATTTCCTACAATTTAAAAAGAAAACATATCTTCACAATAGGAGAGCGCTGACGCTGACACGGGACCAGTGTAATCTAGAAATTTTTGAAGGAGAGAAAGGAGTATCACAATCAAGGAGGCCATAAACGCGCCCTACAATTGTAGGGACGACTGACGATACGGGCCTTAATCTATGCTGATGATCAGAAATTTTTTTCCAATGTCGACTGCAGCACTGACTGTGCTCGCTTACAAAAAGACCTAGCCAAAATAGTTAAATGTTGTGCTGTAAATCGACTTCCAATCAACTACAGTGAATGTAGTGTTATGTCTTACACCAGAAAGCTAGATATTACTGCATTTGACTACAAAATTGGCAATCATTCTCTGCTGAGAGTAAAAGAATGCAAGGACCTGGGTGTGATTTTTGACATGTCACTTAGCTTCAATCCTCATATTGAGTACCTTATTAATGCTGTCAACAGATTATTAGGATTTGTAATAAGTAACTCAAAGGAATTAAGTGACAAAGATGCGATGATTATGCTTTATAATTCATTCATACTGTCTACATTAGAATATGGACGGCTAATATGGAATCCATGATATGTTACAACTTGTGGCTCTCTGGAGAAGATTCAACGGAAATTTCTGAAATTTCTTTCATTCAAAATTGCCGGTACGTACCCACCTATTGGGGTCCCACGGGAAGACCTGTTACGTAAGCACGAGTTTACCAGTCTTCCTGCATAAAGTAGTGCATTTCTAGCACAGATTAATTTTAATGCTTCAAAATTTGTTACTCGCAATACACTCACTTTTTACCTACCTACCCCACGAACTAACTTACTGTTGCACTCACCTTTGTGCTCGATGTGTTCATGTTATAATAGTCTACAGAGTACATTTGATTTGTTCAATACAAGTATTCCGAATATTAAGAGAGTTTGCAGTGAAATGATTTAGTTTTTAGATTTCGTTGTATTTTATGTTTTTTTTTACTATTTCTATTGTTGTTTTGCCACCAGTAATTGGTTAACACTGCTGCTGGTGGACTTCAATAAATAAATAAATAAATAATTTGACAGGTTAATAAAAAAAAACAGGGAGACTTCATGAGAGTCAAGCGTATGCTTTCAGGGAGGTGGAGCCTCAAAGTGTACCTACGCTTGACCCCAAAGACGTCTCGGTGAGAACGTGGCTAACCTGTTGTTGGCAACAATACGTCGTCATCATTTTAAACAAATAACATACATTGCACTATTTTTACTTCCTACACCACTGGGCGAGGAGATACTGCAATCGCAAAAAATTTCGAATATGAGATATTTTGTTTTTGGGATGTTATATGACATGTACGAGTACATCACAAAAAATCATATCACTCATTTCCGCCTGTCTTGGAAAGTACTGCTCGGATTTGGATGAAATTTTTACACAAGGCTACTACTGCTTTAAGCACAAAAAAGACTGGATTATTTTATTGTTTTATATTTTATTGTTGCTTGTGTATTCATACATTTTTTTTTAATAATTGTAATAGCCCATACACAGGCATTGCCTTCTATGGACTCTCACATTTATTTACTTTATACGTCCATGTAAATAAATATTATGATTATGATCAATAATGCAACCTATAAAATTCATCATCACATTTGAATAGGTAAATAAATGTTGCGAACGAATTACAGAATCAACCCACTTGGCACCAATTTCTACCGGACTAATAGCGCCTTGACAGCCCGTGGCTGCGGTGTGCTTGTGGCTAAGCCATGGACGATGAACCGACTCCGATAAGGTTAAAGACTTCTCTAGCTGCTTGGTGTTGTTAATTGTAGCGTGTTTATTTTCGCCAATACAAGGAATAACTGCTGGAAGTCGAACAAACCACGCTGCTGACATGAACTCGCGAACGTGAAAAGTACAAACATAGATGCGATACATTGGTATTTATTACCAGATATTGAAAAGGAATAGTCAGATGTTTATTAAACTGAAATAAACCGAAAACAAATTATAGGAAAGTATATAGAAGGTCTGTAAATTAAACAATAAGACTAACAACGTAGCGTTCGATCTGGCAGCACTGGTGGCGCTGAGCTCAGATGGGAACATGTAGTCCGTCTTCAG